TAATAATAATTATTTATTATTATTAAAGCTTAATAGTTAGTGGCGGATTACCGACAGACTTCAACCGAAAGTCTATTAAAGTTGACTTTTTTAACATCCGCCGGTAATCCGCCACTAATTTTCCGACGAAAAGATCAGCCGAAAATGACCACCGGAAATAGTCAATTTCTTATTAGCGTTTGTGATTTGCTAGTTTTAATGTTTTGATTCCTTAAAAGGGATCAAGATTTCAAAAATTTGAACGTAACATAATACATTTGAATAAATTGGTTGTCATCATTTTGCTAACTAAAAAATTTGTAATTACTATCGTTTTATCTACATATACTCGAGTCTCTTTTTTCCTTTTTTTAGAATAAATTTATGTGCAGGTTATATTTTATGTATATGATTTTAATACATTTATATTTAACATTTATATGATTATCTCAGTTAATGGGGAATAATTAAATAAGAACTTCATACATTATGATAACCATGAGAAATGAGAAATTTATCTTAAGGTAATGTTTCATATGATTTTTTTTCATCTAAGACTAATTTTATTGTATCGACGAACATATATAATGCTTTTGTTTCATATGTATTTAGTTAATAATATGAAACTTTTTTACGTGTATTTTTTGTTTTACAAACATGTTAAAATGATTTACATTATGAAACAAATATATATTAATCAATATTTTAAATCATAATCTAAAATGAAAAACATCATAATTCCAAGATCACCTTCAAATAAGCATGTTTTGAAAAGAAATAACCCGAAAATAAAACAAAGAAAAACATCGGAAGGTAGTAAAAATAAAATATGTGAACAAAGATATCAATAATAGCCCAAGAAGCCCAGTTAATCCACTAGCAAGCCCAATACATAGCATAAGCATAATATATTTCGGGTGTAATTGGTATGGTAAACAGAACATAACAAAACATGAATCTTTATTTCATGTTTGGAAGAACTTTTATGTGGAACAGATATAAATACAATGACATAAACATGTTCCATCCCTAACCCATGGAACAGGGTGGAACATATTTATACTTTATCAATATAACATCAAAATAAAACTTAATTTGTTCGATTTATGCAAATAAAATCTTACTTGAGCCTCTTTAATTAAGAGACTCAAAATATCATATCAATACCATGATCTTAGGGGGTCTATGGCCCGTAAAAGGAGAAAGCAACGGGTGATGGAGGTGTAGGAGGACGAGTTAGGTTTTATTTTATAAATATTATGGATAATCATGTAAGCTTTACTTTTATTTTGTATCATATCATTATAAACACTTTGCATAGACCCTATAATGATAATATTGTTCCTTTCAATATGATTTGTCCCAATCAATGATGGATTTTCGAGTTAGCCATACTTTTGGATCATGAGTATGCCTATCTATTGAATATTTACATGTTATTGCTTATGTCGATTTCTACTGATTACATGATTTGTCGAATATTTGGTTTGGTTTTGACTCAGATGAATCATGGGGACGTTTGTCCAGTGCAACTCGCTCAATGTTGATATTTGAAATGTGATATGCAGTTATGACTTATGACATATTTATTTGGAATTTATAGGTTTGGAATGTGTTTGTCATTTAATATGAGTCTTGTGATTTAGAATGTAATGCAATGGATTCATAAGCGTAGGAGGTAGTTTGTTGGTTTGAAAATGAGATTATTATCCATGTTTTGTAGCTTGGCACCAATACAAGCAATAGACCTAGAGTGGTTGACCTTGGTGCCTACATGAGAGATAGACCTAGAGTGATTGAGCTTGAAGTTTTGGTATTTAGGGAGATGGACCCTTGTGGGGTTAGACTTCGGGAGCACGAGTATTACAGAGATAGGCTCATATAGAATCAAACTTTGGGACCTGATGTTTATTGTTTTAAGTGAGGAGTTTTGATATTTTCACTATATTTTCAATTAGGGTGTGTTGTATTAAGTATGAAAACTTAGTTGATATATGGTATTAGAAGTCATGTACCACGACAGTATCATGGTACCGACTTATTTAATTATTTTTTTAGTTTTATTTTTATTTTCTATGCATTAAATATTAAAAATTATAATTTTAACTATTTTGTTTGAACACTTAAATATCACATGTGTTATCTGAAAACCTAAAATGTCAATTTTAATATATGTAACTTGAAGTTGGTATAATATCACTATCAACCAAAAACTTTAGTACCAAATACATTGATTAGTATAAGGTATTAGATTTTATATAAAAATTATAACTGATTGATATATAGTAAAAAAAAAACTTAATAGCATACGAGGCTAATGTATACTAGTTACAAACGAGGTTTTATTTGAATAATTCAAATGTTTTGCCGATTTGCAATTGGTTATTAAAAGACAAATAAAATAGTTTCAAAATGATACAAGATATTTAATCGTTTTTCTGAGGAACCGGCAGAATGATGTTTGCCGGCCCAATATTCTCCAACCGGCCCGTAACTTCGATACTAATTAGCCGGTTGCTACAAGAACCCACCAGAATAGGGGTCAATGTCAATGTATGGTTTAGTTTGATGATTTAACAAACACAAAATTAGTATCATAATTACATTATAGAATTAATTTATCTTAGAATTAATTAATAATTCTTTTTATAAATCTTGATTTACTAATCGGTTTATTCTCTCTCTTGATTAGTGTACGTTTTTGTGTGTGCGACATAGTCTTGGGTTTGTTATTGGTTTTACGAAGTATTTTGTCGTATTATTATTATTATTATTTATATGACTCAAATTTTAATATTGTATCTGCACGAATTTATCAGTTGGTTATTGGTTTGTTTTATTAAATTTAAATGTGGAGCTTTCAAATTTTGCATGTATACACTAATGTCCGACTAGGGTGTGCAAAATTTGAATGGTCTGAAATTCGAACCGGAACTGAAAATAAGATATTTATGCAAAACTTGAGTGCCTCGAAAACCGAATTTTGAGGGAAATCTTGGGTTCAGATTGGGTTTGATTTTTGGCTGCTCGGTCCATTAGAAAATTCGAAATATATGTACATATATATTTTAAGGGTTGGGTTCCTGTGAGAAGCATAAGAAGAGGGATTCATCATTGGATCAATGTTAATTAAATGTCAATACTAATGAGATGTACCAGATCAATTCTCCTCTAAAATGCAACTTATGGATGGATATGAGATTAAAAGTGATCAAAGATTCAGATCTCATTTTACGCTTCTCACAGTAACTTCCCTTCTCACACGGTACTTCACTATATTTATTTATTTAATTATCTTTTGAAAATTCTGAATATCTTAGTCGACCGTGCTCTTTTCTAATTTTTAAGCATACTACCAATTTATCAATCCTTTATATCGATTGAATATATATGGTTTTTGCATTATAACTAAACTTGAACCCAACCGACCTCAACTTGAAACCCAACCAACCCGAACCCAAAGCAATCCAAAATCTGAAACCCAAAAATCGCTGCTTGATTTTCATATCCGAAATCCGATCGGGTTTTTGATTTGTTCACCCCGACCCACCCAACCGGCTCGATGCACAACCCTATGTCCGACGGCCTACCCCGCCTCATTTCACCATCTTCAATCTATCTCCTTTCTCCGTTGAAA